CATGTGGGCACCGTTAAAAAAGGGGGTGGCTTGCATGCGGGTGGTTGGGTGGCTTAATGGGTGGGTTTTTCCGACAGTCACCAGACGGCATGGTATATTGTCTCAGCCAAAAAACCTCATAACTCATTGAAGGGTTACGAAATTAACTCTGAAGGAATATATCAGCGCATAAACGAAAAGCTCAAAGGAATATTCTGGGTAGCTAAACTGGGCTGAATAAAATAGATACATTTAACAGAAATTATAGGGATAGAAACTAAGTTAGTTTTTTTTTTATTTTTTATTTTTTTTAATAACAACCAGGGGCCGCAAATAAGAGTTATTAATTTTAAAAAAATTGCAATTTTTTGGTTAAAAAACTTTTTTTTTTTTAATTTTTATTTTATCAGAAATTATAATGATAGAAATTTAAAATTTTTTGAATGACTTTTATTTTTAAAATTTTTATTTTATTTTATTTTTTTGTGTTTTGTTTAATTTAATTTTTTTTTAATAACAACTGTTCTGTTTGTTTTACAACAGTTATTTAAATATATTTAAATTTAAATTACAATAATTTCCTTCAAAGCATTTCATAATCGCCTTAAGACATACGCTTTCAATTATATTTTAAACAATTTTTGGCTATTTTGTAACTATTTCCTTAATTGCAAATATTTCAGTTACTCCATTTCATCATCATTCTCATATCTGCTGCATTTTATAAAACTTTCAACAAATTATATTTCAGCCATCTTCGAGTATTTGGAAAATTTTGAAAAATCCGAGCAAATGAAGCCCTCTTAGAGCTTGTCTTAGCCCAATCGAATTCACTGGCAAGTTGTTTCAACTTTTTTAGGAATTCTCAAATCAACAGCCTTTCACAACTCAGCCACGAGCAAGTTTCCAATTTGCTTTTCACGCTTGCAGTTTTACAAGCTGCTACATGATTGGGGTCGTCCGGCCATAGTTCCTACGACTGCTCGCTCCAGCCAGCAGTCCCCGCCGTCTGTCCGCCTGTCCGTCCGTCCCATAACAAGCTGCCAAATTTCACACTTGGCTCTGGCTGCGGGAAATATTCAATAGCCGGGCACCTAAACTAAAAGTTTCAGCGCGTGGCGCTTGAAATGTGTCAGTGATATGAAAAATTCTTGAGCTGCAATCGAACTTCCCTAATCCCTGCCCCAGCACAGCCCCAACGGCTACCCTTTCGTCGGACGTCATCTAATTTACTCGGCATTTTATTATTAGCTGACAGTTTATTAAAAACTCATCGAAACTGGGTCTGATTTCGATTCAGATTTGGTTTTCCACTCTTTGGGGTTGCCCCCTTATCAAGATCCACGACACATGTCAGAGCTGCGTTAGCTGATTACCGACGCTAGATAAATATTAAGCAACTATATAACAACTTCCCCCGCCTGGCCCCCTCCAATCATCGCCCTCTCAGCCAACAGTCGCTGCTGTCTCCATTGCGAACGACGTCATCGCCTGTTTGTTTGGGAAGCGCCAAAACAGCTTCCTTTCTGTAATTGACTCACCGCCAAGGGGCAAGACCCCGCCTCGCTACGACCCTCGCCCCTCCCCCCTCTGCCCATGCAGCGTGGTAATGAAATTTTTTGGCTTCGAGTGCTATAAATGTATGCAGGGCAACTCCTGGATTGTTATTGTTGTTGTTTGGCACGTGGCACGCGGCAGTTGCTACGTGCAGCCGGGTGGGGCAAGGAAATGGCATCAAATTGATTTAGATTTTAGTTATGTTGTTATTCAACATGCTGCCCCACGGCATGCTCGTAATTATTTTTGAACAGGGAATTGTGCAATAATTAAAAATGATTAGCTCATAAAGATTTCCGCATGAGGACAGACATTTTCATTGCAATCGAACCACTCGACACTTTTCATTGCAATGGATATTTAAAGTTGCAGCTTAAAAAACTCCATCTCTATGCAAACAACATAAGAGGAAAAAAAAAAAAAGTTTTGAAACAAAACGGAAATACTTTAGCTCAGCTTAAACTTTTTAAAACTTTGTCTTAGACAAAGTCCTTTTCGTTAAATGCCTTCTCTTTAGGGGCGCAGCTCAGTTTGGAAGTGATAAATTTCCATTTTTTTTTATGGCATCAAGAAAAATCAAAACAATTTCGTGTGAAAAATTATGTATTTTTGGAAAATTTATCACACTCACACAGACATCAGCATCGAGGCAGACAGATTCTTGGATTCTTGGGGCCGGCGCATGTCAAAAATCTTGAAGAGCTCCTCAACTGGAGCGAGGCATCGGATGCATCAAGTGGACGACGGACCAGCATGACGATAATGTGACCATGCTGAAGATGATGCTGATGCTGCTGTTGATGTTGTGCGTGCTTGCTGACGATGACGAAGCTGCTCTGCTCTGCCCTGCCGGCACTTGCTCTGCATCTCTGTGTCTGTGTCTGAGTCTGGGTTTTATGGTAATGCCAAGTACGTGAATGATGCACCAAGCTTGGCTGCTGATTCCCGGTATATGGCAGGCAGCGGGGCAAATTTGTGCGCCAGCCAAGATTTATAGAAATAAGTCGAAGGCACTTGTTTACCGCCCCAGCACAATGCGCTGCGCTACCAAGAAATCTGCACAAGCAACCAAATGAATCTCTGCACCAGACGAATAAAGCCGAATATAAAACTTACTACAAGATTATGGCCATCATATAAATTATGTTGCTTTAGATACTTTTGTCGACTTAGTAGCTGAAAGAGAGATGGCGAGAGACAGAGGGAGAGAGAACGAGATGTTGAAAATCTAAAATGTATTTTTTAACAATTTAAAAGCTAACTAAACTGCTATTTAAACAGTCCATAAGGAAAAAATATTTACATAATATCTAAAAATAATAATAAATATTTATATATAGAATTATAATATAATATATAATCGAATCTAGACTTCCTATTCGAAAGAATCTTAACCTCTACGACATAATCAATAACTACTCTACTTAAGTACTGTCTGAAAGCTCTTTAAACAATGTAAGGGGGAAAGTAAATATAGATACATATATACGAATGTAGACTTCCCATTCGAAAGTGTTTCAAAAAACCTTTCCGACATAATCAACAACTACTCTACTCAAGTACCCTTAGAATGCTCTTTAAACAATATTTTGCGCACTATTTTGTATTCTTTTCAGAGCTCTACTCGGATTAAATTTACAAATTTAAGACAATTTGATGAAATGACTTACAAAACCCGGCTGGGTGCTGAACCCAGCCCCAAATCTAGTTTACAAATTAGAAACCGCAAAACCAACAACAACAGCAGGAACCGCAGCAACATCAGCTGCAACAGCAGCAACAACAACAACAGCTGTAAAATCAGTTTTCGCCTCTGCCCAGCCACAAAGCCACGCCCCCTAAGGAACAAAAAAAAAGTATAAAGCGCCCAACGTGCTATGGGGGGCAAGAGCTACTAAAGGCTTTTGTCTAATGTCCAGCTGGAGTCTGGGATGTAGGATGAGAGCTGTGGGATATGGAATATGAGTGTGTGAGTGTGAGTGTGTGTGTGTGAGTGTGAGTGTGTTGCACTTTTGAATTTCAACTTTGTCTGCTGCGTGTAAAATTTACTTGCTCCAAATTCAATTCAAAAGCGATTATCACCACTTAGCTGTCAACGACACGACGCCAGCTCCAACAGATCCCAGCCGGACGAAGTCCTAAGAGCGCGCAGAGCTCTGCCAATAACCAGCGCAGCCACTTGAGCACTTCACAAAGGGCATGGCCAAATGTAGAGACATACATACATACATATGCATGCATCCGTGTGTATAGATGTATGTGTATGTCTATGTATATGCATGTAGCTACATCTATAACACTCGGTTGGCTCAAATAAAATTTACACTTACAAGTGGCGCTAAAGTCAAGTGTAATGCCTCAGCCCCTGCCCCTGCCCCAGCCGCTGTCCCTGCCCTAAGCTGCCGTCAGCTGGTTAGACATGGCCAAAAGGCTGGCGGTGGTGGCGGTGGTGCTGCTGCTGCGGCAAATGTGGTCAAGAGTTTTATAAAGTTCATCATCCATGGCCTGGTCCTAAGCATTTTTCAAGTGCAGCGCCAAAAGATTTTCAATTTCAAATACACAAGTATGCATTATATAAGCAGTTGGCCGCCCAGCAGTCGCTGCCTCTGCGAATCCCCTGTCCACACCTAGCCGCAGCGGCTTTAAGCCATTTCATTATGCCCTGCACAATGGCCACAATGGCTAGCTCATCCCGTTGGCAGCGCTCCAAGTTTGCAGTTGAATCTGCTTTTCGGCTAATCGTGATAAAATTCAATTTATGATGTAAGTAGGAATCATCTGGACGTGAATTTTGAAACGGGATTTGTTGGAATTATTAAATTAAATAAATATATAAAATCAATAAAAATGTATAAATTTTAGCATGATTAGAATTTAAATTTGAATTTATATAAAATTCAATACATATAATAAATTTAAAAAACTATACATGTAAGAATAACTGAAACTTGGATTTAAATAACGAAAATAAATAAATAAAAATAAATAAAAAAAATGAAATTGTATCAAATTAAATATATAAATAAAAAAAATATATAAATAGAAAAAAAATTCAATAAAAAAATAAGATAAAATATTCCTTATACTAGAATTTGGATTTAATTTATTAAATTATTATTTTGATTATTATTAATTATTAATTATTTAGATAAACTTTTGACTGCTTTAATTCAAATTAAATATATACAAAATAAAGAGCATCTGAAGCAGCTATATCATACATATAATTGATATTTCTCACCCACTCTCCCTCCCTCTCATACTCACACTCACTCGCACTGTCTAGCCCTCTCTCTTTCCGTCTTCAACTTGTCTTGACTGCACATACATAAAGTACATAATCATGTTCATGACGTGAGCTGAAGTGGGTTTGGGTTTTGAGTTTTGGGCTGGACGGTGTTGGCCTGTGTTGGGCGCCTGTTATAAAAGCTTAAACCGTTACAAGTATTTAAAAAGCACTTCACTTCAGCTTGAGGACTAACACAAATGTATTAAAAGCATATTGAAATGTATTGCATTGTTTATTTTAATTAAATCAACAGCATTCGGGAGACACTACATGCCGGTTACATAATCCTCCTCTTTGCTTGAGTTGCTGTCTTGAGGCGGACTACGGGCGCCTGGGCGGCATTCTAGCTGCTGCGGCAATGTTTCGGCAGCTCAATTTCTCACAAGGATCTGGTTGGAAAATATATATATGTATATTCAGTAATTAGATGAGAGACTTTGAGCAACTCACTTCTGCAGGAAATCAGCTGCAAATCACATTGCGTTTGATCTCTCCAGACTCTGTCCCGAATCGTCCTACGACACAGATTATTTAGCTCAGTGGTGTTCATCCGATTTCTTCGGCAGGACACACAGGCATTGTAGATCTTATCACAGTCGGACCTCTGTGAGTGGATGGCCGTGAAGCAGATCACCAGGAGGACGACGAAAATTATTTGAATTTGCATCTTGCCCGCTCGTTAAACAGACACTGATACTCAACTGAATGCTCCAGTCGGCTTATATAGGCAGCACGAACTATAGATGCTATAGACAATCGGCAACAGCTGTTCCTTAGAGCACGCATCAAAGAATATGGATTGATCGTATTCCCAAAAGATTTTCAATGAACTAAAAAGAAAGTTTATAATGATAATATAAATGCATTGTCTTACCTGCAATATTTGACTTACATAATGGGACATCTGTTTCACAGGTGAGTCACATACTTCCTCATCTGGAATTTCGACTATAAATAGCTGGCAAGTTAGCCAGGTTTACCTACAGTTCATCTCGTACTCCACCAACTCAGTAATCATGTCAAAAGTTCTGATATTCTTGGGTAAGTTTTGACGGCAAGCCGAGCCCTGAAATCAGGATTATAATCAAACAAATTTCTCCCATAGCTTTCTTCTGCTTGTGCCTGATGCAAATCCAAGCTCAGCCAAACGAGAACAGAAGGATCTGCGAGAAGCTGAACCGTGACTGTGTTGCGTGTCAGCGTAGAAGAGGACCCGACGACGATGTGACTAACATCTTCAATGCCAACTGTCGCAGAAGCGATCGCCGCTGGAAGAATATTACACGCTGCGAGCTGGACCGTGCCACCTGTGAACGTAAGTACAAAGAATTAATTGAAGTGACTATGCCTATAAATTTATAACAATTTCATTTATTTTCAGTAACTCTGGGTTCCTGCAGAGCTGTGACCTGCGCCAATGTGCGTCGCATAATAAACTAACGGATGGAAATAGAGAGAGGAAGTGTAAATGACTAAATTGAGAAATGTATTGCATTGAAAAAGTTAAGAAAATATAATAACATTTTATTTCATCCAACCCAAAAATCAATTAATCAATAGTTGACATAAGTACGTGAATCACGCCCACTTTGTTGACTCAAATAATAATAATATCAAAGTGTGGTCTATATAGCCTCACTAATTCACACACAATATCCAACAGGGGCGCTTATCAGTCAAGTGCATAGCTTGCAAGATCTATGAAACACTCACCACTATCCCTCTATCTCTCTCCCTCGCTCTCTCACTCTTGATAGTTGTTTAACACTCACTCTCTTGCGACTTTCTTAGCTCAACTTAACTCACCACACGCATGCAGCTAAGCTTACATATACATTTGTATATTCACCACAGCTCAGCTGTTTCTGGCGCTGTGTCTACCACACAGCAAACAAAGCGTCGCGACGCTGCTCTCGCATGTAAACAAAACTTGATGAGATGCAGAGAGGAAAACCAAACAACAGACACACGCACACACACACACACACATACAGCTCTATCTGGCTCTCTCTACAGTCGTCTGTCTGTTTGTCTGCCGATCTATCTGCTAAAATACACATGGTGATAATAAAGATTGCGAGCCGAAAACAAAATTTTTTGTGCGGCGTTAGTCGCTGTCATCGTTGCTGTTACTGTTGTTGTTGTTGTTGTTATTGTTATTGTTAATTTTTCACGCACACAAACAGGCCAAACAACGTAGGAGCTCTTGATACTCGTAATAAGCCAGTTGCACGTCCAGTCGCAGTCGCCTAGTTGACAGTTGTCGCGAGTGTCGCGTGAGCCCGAAGAGCAAAAAATAAAAACAGAAAAAATAAAAGTAAAAAAAAAAAAATACCTCACATTTCACCATTGCTTCTGTGTATAAATTGCCATATTGATCGACTGAACTGATTGATTAAGTGTTTCGTGTGTGAGTCGCTGAGTGGAGCAAAGTGAAGTGGAGTGGAGTGGAGCAGTGCAGCAGCTGCTGCCAATGCGGATGCCAAAATGTCAAATAGCACATTTACGCATCTGGCCAAACTGCAGCCGCTCCTCCGTGTGGTGGGCAGCAGCTTCGCGGCGCTACCAGCCACCGACGACGTTTATTCACCAGACTTGCAAAGTATTCGCAGCTACAGCAACAATATGAATGTGGGCAGCCACCAAAACAACAACAACAACAACAGCCACAGTAGCGATATTTTGGTGATGTACGAGCAGGAGAATTACACATACCGTTCCACATCGACCATTGTGCTAATGGTCGCCGCCTGGATACTGCTGATACTGGGCTTTGTCTTCTGCTGCTGTGCGGAGTGCTTCGGCGTGAGCGTCTGGCGGGGAAAGAAGCGCGCCAGTATCTCGCGGAGCGGCGCTGAGAGCTCTGCCACCAGCACCACCGCCACTGGCAACCAGTCGAGCCAACTTCATGCAGGTGAGTTTCTTGGCTTTTCAGAGCTTTGCTGCGGCGAAAATGCCAATGCAGCGGCATACTTTTCGGCGCGGCTGAGAAATGTGACAGCAGCAGCAGCAACAGCAACAGAAGCAGCAGCAGCAGCAACAGAAGCAGCAGCAGCAGCAGCTGAGCTGAAGCAGAAGCAGCAGCAACAAGAGCCACAACAACAATGAAACTTTTGTGTCCCGTTGGCCAAAGCAACACTCAACTTCCTACACACCTCCTCTCTCTCTCTCTCTCTCTCTCTCTCTCCCGTTCCCTCTACGATACAGTTCAAAAATGCAAAATGGCAACAATAACCTAAAAATGACAGTGTAAGAGGTAAATAACGAACTATAAATACCCTGCTATATGGAAAATACTTCTGCTTATGGCAAGCTTAGCTATAATTCTGGTCACTTTTTGGGCAAACATCCAATGGGAAATACTTTTATGCAGCGCTCTCTATAAGTAAATTATATTTATAATATATTAATATTTCTATAAAATACTCTTAAGTATTCACAGATATATAATTATATATACTTTATATAACTTTTTTTTTAGTGTTTATTTAAAAATATATAAATATATTATATAGAGCAAGCCCTACTTACCTAAGCCACATTATAATCCAATCCTAAATAACTTTCTCAACTGCAGCTACCCTCAATTCTATAGCTATCCAGCATATAGTTGCTATTGTATTTATAAAACCTGCCCGCTTTGTTACAAAGTTTTTACCTAAGAGTCATCAGTTTGCATTGAAAATGTCGAAAACTTTGTGCTCCATGGGGATGGCCGCTGCTGCACATGTGCGATTGCTAAACAAAGTGAATTTCTCTGGGGCTTAGGGTATGGCAACGCATTTGTATGGGCTGTCAATGCGCTCAGCTGCCACTGCTGAACTACTTTTGGAAAAAAGCAAAAGGCAACGGAGCAGAGCTCCATGCAAATGTATTTTGCGTTTTGAGTGCTGAGAATTGTGCACTGCCTGCAGTTTTTCTGATGGGGTAGTCTGCCCGCCTGCACTCCCACCCTCTCTCCTGCCCGCCCCGCCCGCTCGCTAGCCTTATCGATATCATAAAATATTTAGCTATTTTTCGTATCTCGTTTCGTTTTGTTATTGGTAAATTTGGCATGCGTTTTGGCTAAAATTGGCTTTTGGCCAAGTAAACGAGTGGCAGCTACACACGTACGACTCCACACACACACACACACACACACACACACACACATAAATTGCCCATATTTCTGGCATCATTTTGAGTTTATGCGCCTCTGCCTAGCTCCCCCCACCCACACACACACACACACACACTCACCCCCACCCCAGGCGGTTATCGGTTGAAACTTGTGCATTGCAGAATGCCCACTAAATTCTCTAAGATATTGAGTTTCATTAAGCCAATGCTCATGTGTGTGTGTGTGTGTGTGTGTGGGTGCGGGTATGTGGGCCAGACGGAGCATCAGCAGCCTTCAGTGGGTCATTAGACTCTCGTATCGATAACGCAAAATTTGTTGGCAATTTATTTGGCCTACTAGTTGGCTGCAGATTTGTGGAATGTTAGCTTAAAGTGGCTTTTGCTTGCCGCATTCTTTCCAAAGCTGCTGCAGCTTCAAATATGCCTTTTGTTTGCTTCGACAAAGTGCTAAGCCTTTATTGGAATGTATATTTCATAAAAGTTATTTCAACTGAAATACTAAAATGATTTAGAGTAAATTTTAAAGAAAACTAAGGGAAGGCTGAGACAAATATAAAATATTATTTGCAAAAGAAATGCCAATAAATGTTAATTATTTGCTTTTTTCTATCGTTTGTCAGCTTTCGATAAATATTTATTATCAAGCTCTTCCGGTCAAGTCTCTAAAAATATTCCATTTAATTGTCAGTTAACAGAGTAAATACTTATCGATAAACAAATGTAAATTACCAATCACTTCACTTCAGTAAACAATTATCGATAAGCATATGCAATAAAAACACGCTGTCGATAAACCAATGTATTCCATTACAAGTTTATAAAGTAAATACTTAACAATAATCAATTATCGATATACAAATGCAATTCAAACAAGCTCTTGATCAACATTTATTACCAGCCCTTCTTTAATATTCAATAACAACAAATATTTCTACTTATCGATCATCGATGAAACGTATATCGATAAGCCGTAAACTGCAGCTGCAGTAAAAGCAACATTGATTTGAAATCAGGACACATTGTTCTCCCCAACGACGGCGTCGTGAAATGTTATTTTAATACACCGCCGTGCGTTAGCAGCATGAACCGTAAGCCGTAAATACTAAACTGCAAGCAGGAGCACGGCGTGCCGAAGAAGCCCGTAAGTAATCGATTTGATGGTCCGTTCCCCCACTCAATGTATGCAGTTGAGCGCATTGGCCCATTTCGATAACTACATAAGACCCGTCTTAGTGTGTCAAGCGATAAATTCGCGCACTCGCCGCACTCCTCCCCCCCTCAGCCAGCAGCAACTCAATGCCAACAAAGCGCAGCGAGGGCAAAGCGATGCGGTAGATAACTTTAAGTTGCAGCCATAAAAAATTGCGAAAGTCACAAATGTTTTATGAAAGTTTCTCATTTTATTTAGCCTTTTATATTATATTATATACATACATACATATATATATATAGATATGTATATAGATATCAGCGCGCCCTGTGCATCGACTCGGCAGAGTTCGCATACTGCACAAGTTTTTAATAAAAGTTCTGCAGCAGCAGCTATTGCAATACCCACCACAGCACCACTTCCACTTGCAGCACCACTTCCACTTCCACTTCCTCCAGGGGCTGTCTGTTCAGGAATTCATAACCGCATTTCTCTCAGCGACTGCCAAGCCGAGCAGCAGGCGCAGTTGTACATACCAATTACTTATATATCGACGATATGGTGGCTGAGACAATAACTGAGCATATCCCCACAGCCCCCTCTCCATTGCGCTGGGCACAGCTGATGCAGCTTTGGCTTATAATAAGTTTTTGTCTCCTCGCTTCGGATTGCGCTTGCCAAGTTCCATTGAGTTGCCCAACTCAAATCTATAATATAATTCAGTTTTCCTCCTCGATTTGTAGACACTTTAAAATTGGGTTTCCATTTATTTATGTTGCGAAATATTGTCAGAGTTTTATTTGCTGTTTATGCGCTTCATTGCTAGCTGTCCCTCGCCTCGCCTCGTCTCGCCCCACCTGCTGTTTATTCGTGTACATCATTTTTTACAGCCCCTCATCAGCGGCAAAGCTGAAGGTGGGCGGGGGGACAGACAGGAGGCGCTGCTTAGTTAGTCCTTCATGGCACTTTGATTGCTCATTTGGCATTTATTTGACGGCCTTATTCTCCGCCTGCCAACTTCTATCTCCTACTGCTGCTCTTAAATTATTCATTGTGCGTGCCTCCTGCCCCACTCCTGGCGCCTGCAGCATCTTCAATCTTCTGCTGCCCACGTACATCGCTGCGTTGAGAGCTATGCGAATTTTTAAAATATTCATGTCCTGCCGCTGGCATCGCTGGCCAAGAAACTCGCTGAAAACATCATCGGACCAGGCACTAACTAAATGTGCGTAATTTTTACCGACAGCGCATTGAAAATATCGCTCGCA